GTCTTGTGAATGGATTGAGGATATACACAAAAGAATAGGTAATGGGAATTTAGGTATGGGCAAGGCTGAGATCAAACAACCAATGCGGCAGAGGCGGCTTTGGGGGACCAAAAGGTGTAATTGTACATGGTTCCAAATTTATTTGAAAGGACTTTAATATTTATATTAAAAAAAAAAACTAAAGAGAGTCGCAAGATTATAGCAAGCCGTATTACGCACGAAAGCCGTATTGTCTAAAGGGGTAAGATGAAGCTAAGGGTCCCGAGGTTAGCATTCAAAACTTTCTACGTACTTTTTTGAGATAGCATTTGGTCTTAGGATTGGTACTAATGAAGTGATCAAAGCCACTTCCTGTTCTCTAGCTGCGTCTAACCACTATGAGTCATTAGAAAAAGATCCAACTGTTTTTTTTAATAAAAGGGGACCAGCCGGTGACTTTGCCACGACAGTCCATTCTTCCGGGGGTAGGGAAAACTCACATAGGCATTTCAGCCTCCCCCTAGCCACCATCGTGCGATTCACCAGCGCTAGGAATCGAACCCAAGACATGTCGTGTGGAATACGGGTCTAAAATTCATCCCCAACCACTGGGTCACCCCATGGTGGTTGAAAAAGATCCAACTGAACCACCTGAAATTTAATTCTTTTTGTTTCTTCCAGTAACTCGTATAGGGAAAGAATGACACGTAGACTGCTATTAGAGTCTAAAATACTAGTAAATAATAACATAACCAACTTCCGTAAATAGCCAAACAAGGCATGCCCAAGTCGCTGATGCCTTAACTAAATCTTCTTAATCTTGTCACCATTCCCACTACGTACCTGATTTACTCTGCTAGGAGCCTAGGAGCCACATTGTCGACATAATACAACCCCTTTCTCTTAGTACCGTGCCTAATTACAACCCTAGTTTGGATATCCGGAAGTAAGCAAAAAAATAGAAACATTAGTACGATATAACCCAATTGATCGATAATTTGACTGACTGATAGAAGATGATTTGATAATTCCGGAAGAAGCAAGGTATTGTGTAAGGATAAAGATGAGGTGAGTGCAATTCGACCAGCCTCTGATCCGAGATAATATTTCCATTGGCAGTGACAACACCCTCTGTTGGAGGATGAAATGAGGTGAGTGCAATTGGACCAGCCTCTGATCCGAGATAATATTTCCATTGGCAGTGACAACACTCTCTGTTGGAGGATGAATCATGGATGAAAGAAAGACTCATCATGCGGCATGTGGTCACGATCTCTAGAAGCAATTTAGATATTTCCCGAATTTCCTGAATTATCTCGATCAACAGAGAGAGATACTTGATCAAAAAAAGACAATATTGTCTTCTCTCCCATGGTTGCAGTAGGCTTAGGCTTAAGATTTTCAATGTCGATTGCCAAGAACAAGCCGCACGACAAGAATTAGGATTATTGTGCTACTTAAAAACCACGAAGAGGCACCGGGTAAATTTTGGTTCTGTGTAGGATTAATGATTGTCCAAAACACAAGACAATCAACGAAGTGTAGGGCAATAACATCCAAGGAAGCTACATGACATGAATAGTATTTTGGGTTTAGGTTTTTTTTTTTTTTTCGGGAAAAGAGACAAGCCGTGACCCTTTTTTTTTTTTTTTAAATATTTTTTTTATATAGAAAACCTTGATTGTATGAGTGAAATTTTATTGATAGTAAAAAAATTTCCACCTAGTCAAGATAGATGTAAACCTAACCCTTCATAATACAAGAAGAAAAAAAAAAGATTGAAAACACATGAAAGGGAAGGGGGACATAATATTTTACCCTTCTAGAAACGAAAACAATAATGATACAAGGAAAAAAGAGGGGGGGGGGGCCTGAAACCTAACCCCTCCATAGCCAAACCTAAAAGTCTAAACCTGTAAAACAAATTAAGTTAGATCACAGGTTAAGAAAATAAAATAAGAAAGTGAGACAAACCTATATGTCGAGATGCACATTCATTTGAGAAGCGGAAGCCAGTAAAGCCAGCATAGTCTGAAAACAAAGCAGTACGAGCCACCAGCAAAGGGGAATCATGCCATACCAAAGTTGGAGAAGACGAACCTATATTAGCAAAGTTGTATGCAACAACATTCCCTTCGAAATATATGTGAGAGGTGTAGAAAGTCATCTTTCGAATGTGATCTAAACAAATAGACCATTGCGTACGAAGAGGCCAAGGAGGGTCAAAAGCAGTCGATTGGAAAGCAAAAATAACACTAGAACAGTCACTTTCCAGCCAAAGACAATGCCATCCCTGCTGATATGCAAACTCTACATCAATAATAATTGCTGATAATTCTGCATAGAAAGAGTTACAATGACCAATCTGATACCAAGATAAAAGTGTAAAACTTTTTTTCTTTTTTGACGGTACGAGAGAAATTTTATTGATAACGAAAAAGAAGTTACACTTTATCATTTTCCGAAGTTAAAGTTGGAGAAGACAAGCCCATGGTTGCAAAATTGTCCGCAACAAAATTTCCTTCATGATATATGTGAGATGCGTAGTAAGTCATTTTTCAAAAATGAAACACTCTCGGTACTATTCACTTTTAACGAAAAACCATGTTTTTAGCTTTCCCTGGTACTATTCACTATACCTTTATTTGTCATTTTTCATTAAAACTAAAATATTTTTAGACTTTTCGTTAGTTTTCATTTTTGTGAATGTGGTCCAAACAAATACACCATTGCTTACGAAGAGGCCAATGAGGATCAAAATCAGACGACTAAAAAGTGTAAAACTTGATGAGAGTTTTTGGGTTTGTATTTTTGTGTTGTATTCTTCTGTCAAGTACAAGTATAAGCATATCTAGGTACACGAAATCCCCAAATTACAAAGCTATAATAAATAGGGAAGTTGACTCACGCAGAACAACATGCTGGATGGTGGATCCACACCTAAGACTATCGTAATCATTGACGCATGGTTGAATTGCCCAACACTAACAGAACTATTGAAAGTGAACGTTGGCAAAAGACTTGGAGTATGTGTCAGTTGACATGAGGGTCAGCAAAGGTTTCCAAGAGTTGGAGCAATAGTGCATACTCTTTCACACAAACATAGCCCTCTATATTTGGTCACGCCAACCTAATCCGTATGTATATTTTAGTGTACACAAAATATGGATCAGTGCATCACGTGTCATAATATAAATATAGGAATACTTCAAAAAAAAAACCTTCTTCCTGCTTCATTATGACATGTAATGTACTAACTTGTGTTATAGGTACATGGAAAAATCTCTCTTCTAAGGACTGTCAAATGTACATGGAAAAATCTCTCTTCTAAGGATTGTCAAATTTTATTGCCAATAGATGGTGGCAAAGAGGCACTGTTATAAATCGTGTTCGATTCCCCATTTAAAGTAGTGGTGAAATTAGATTGTTGATTTGAATTCATGCTTTGAACGTGTAATCAAGACTTACACAACTAATTAATTTGCAAAGTAGGCCAGTAATACTTGACCTATGAGAAGCTATATCAAATCATGATGTAAAACCCAAGAAATTAAATGAAATCATCATTTTCAGATGAACTAGTTTGGCTAAAATGCATCTGTTTTCAGCCTTCAACTTGCTTTTTGGAATGTACATAGCACTGGCCTACAAGTACTTTAGCTAGTGTTGGAAAATTTCTTCTGCATAATTTAGTCCAGTCAATTATTGATGGTCTCTCAGTGTTGGAAAATGGATGCATAGATGGGGAAAGAGATCCTCTCCGGATCTCTGTCCACCAAACTCAGTGAACCGGACCCTTAAAATTTGATCCAACGGTTAAAGTTATTATAACTTTTAAAGGGACTCCTGTTTTTAGCTGTTTGATCAAATTTCAAGAACCTGGATCCCTGGATTTGGTGGGAGAGATCCGGACCCATAGATAGCTTTCCATTGCCAATTATTACAAGCCTACCAAATTGCTTACTTAGAAGTCCTGCGGGACTTGGCATCAGTCAAGCACTAGTTTGTGTATCCAATATCTGTTATTTTCCAACACTAATGATGAGTTTAAATATACGAAGAAATAGCACTTAAAGTAGTCCATAATGATTTTTTTTTTTTTAAGTGCAAGTAACAACTTTGGAATTTCTTTCAACTCACTCAATCAATGGTTCAAGATTACTCATTTCATCACTGAAAGCCTTCAGTAAAATCTCATTATAGACTTTGTGTAGGTCAACTGTCGAGTATCGATCGTCTGCCATTGTTGCAAAATACTTAAGTTGCCGGTGTGAGAACACTTATGGTTTGTAACTTGGTATTTATATGTGCCTTTATGGGTGTGCCCTTTGATCATAGAGTACAATATGGTGTTTTGTGCTCAAAGTGGTAAGCACAAATAAAAAAATTTTGTGCCTCTGTTCTGAAAAAGTTATCAGATGACTTTCCCCATCCATATTAGCCCAATTTTTGTTATTGTGCCCAGTAGGTTATATTTTGAAAATGAAAATGTCAAAATTTGAAATAAATCAGAAACTTTCATACAATCAAGATGGAACACACAACAAAATCCAATGTCTCAGCTGTAAGAAGGATCAAGTAGTAGAAATGGAAACATCACAATTCAGCAAAAAGATGTTCGCATGTTCCACAGGCACAAACAAATTGTGCGCTACTGTCTATTTATAGACACTAAAAGTTTTTGTGCCTATATTTTGTCATACAATTGTCAGACCAATAATTATATATATATGCACTACTTGGCATGGCTTCGTGCCCAATAATGTGTTTGTGTCCATTTCTTTTTACACTGAGTACAATACATTGTATCCTTTATTGAATGGACACTGTTCCACCATATTAGAGTTCTCAAAGACACAAACTCTTCATTTGTGTACACCAAATCCCAAATTTTTCGTAGTATTTCAGCAACTTTTGGTAGGAACCTCACCAACCCAAAGTCACCTACATGTGCAATCATATCCTCATTGAGAAGAATATTGCTAGGTTTGAGGTTGCAATGAACTATTGACGTCTCACAATACATAAATAACGAAATTCCACTAACGAACTAAACAAATGGTCCTTCAATACATCCTTACAGAATCACAACTTACCTTCCAAATTGGACACAATGCAATAAGCAAGAATTGCAATGTTCTGAGACTTTTTCGGATCATGCACACACCTAATTCAGAAAATTTCCCATAAAATTTGACAAAATGCAATAAACAATAATTAAATATCACTACTTACCTTCCAAAAGCGCAGACTTCATCAATGGTAACATTAGCCCCCCCCTCAACAAATTCCAAATTCTGCACACCAAATCAATCCAATCCAATGAGCAATAATATAATAAAAAGGCATACAGAGATCCAAAATGTTGAAATTACAATAAAAAATCAAATCATGCTTTAAAGAAATGCAACATATTCATGAAAAACTTGAAATTTTGAGAACAATTCGCTTCATTCATTAGAATCAAAGTAAGGAGATTGAAGCCAAAATTTGAAACAAAAACAATAATCGAATTAACTAAATTATATCACTTGAAAAGGATAATCACTAAGAAATAAAACGGATTGAGAAGTACAATCATGACCTACGCCCAACTGCTTCGAGAAGAATAATTGCGTCGATTGCTTAGCTGACAAAAGGGTCTCATCAGGTAATGGCACTCCAGTCAAATCTAAGCCAGCTCCACCAATAGGTACTTCTTCATACTTAAAATCAATCTCTAGTTTATGTAAACATATTCAGTTATACAAATATCCAAATGTTATATAATTACTAATTTCCCAACAAAATTTCTCGATTATACAACACACAGAGCAGCTCAAATTGTTAAACATTAACCCAAAGAAAATATGGGAAAATTAAAAGACTTTTCCTTTTAATTTTCCCACCGTTTCTCAGGCACCTGAAATAAAATTCAGAAAACGGAAGCAGAATTAAAAGAAACCATCGATGGAGGGGGCGAGGTTGAGGCCAATGCCATCGCCGAGAAGCAAAGTGATGGGGTAGCGTTTTGAGGGTGAGGCTGCAGAGCAACCGATCTTACCCACTCTGCTTTCATCGACCGCTAAACAGAGAAAAAGGAGACAAAAATAAAAAATAAAATAAAATAAATTCTCGTATAAATAAATTTGTAAAAGTGGGAAAATTGGCGGTGATTTCAATTTGTAAAAGAAGCAACTAATCCTACCCACTCTGCTTCATCGATGGATAGCTCACTTGGTTTGCTAAAAATATTGTATAAATAAATTTGAAACCCCTCATACGTTAAATTGGAATTTCGAAACTGAAAGACGAAGGCAAGACGACGACACGGTACGGTTTGCCGGCATTCGTACGAAAACAGCTCGTCGGAATTAGAAGACCTAGAACCTAGCCGCTTAGCACTTGAAATCGATTTGTTGGGTTCGAATTTTAAGTGTGGGAATTCGCTTTGCTGGTTTGAGGGTTTTAGGTTTCGAATATTTTTCTGTTAATTGCGAGCAACAGAGCTAAATGGGACGATGTTTTGCCAGATGAGGCGAAGAGGCGGAGGGGAAGATTCACTCACTCCAATCCTCCAAGAACCCATAATTTTTTCAATCCTTGGAACCCTAGAAAAATCACCGGAAGATTAATTTCTTTGGTAAAGAATTTTAAAAAATCTAAAGTAGGATAAATTGCTTACCTTCCGTATAGAGGGTTATGGAAAATGCGACGATGGAGTGGTGGTACGTCGCGGTTCTCGCGTGTTACATCGAATTTGGGTGAACAGGTGGAAAAGCAATTTACAGAGTTGGCGGTGGTTTTGTTTGATTGAAGAATCTCGTTGAAAGATGAGGAAGGCTATCGAAAATGGAGAACTGGAGCAGGAAGGAAGAGGTGCAGGAGATTGGGATGAGTCGATTCGTTCGATTGTGTGAAAACAGTTGATGTCGAATTCCATAAACCACCGAGAAAAGCATGAACAACAGCTCACAACACAGATACACATGTTAACATGGGAAATTTCGTAATTTTACTGTGCATATGGAAAACCAAAGAGCAACTTGAACAATAATATGCAATTCCGTCTTTACACCGTGCTTGGGAACATTAAACCTGTTGCTGCTGCAATATTTCTATTTTGCAAATATTTGAGAAGAAGTTAGATTGGTGTTAGTGCCGTGCCACTTTTACTTAAAAGTTTAAAAGAGTTTGAGTGGCAAAGCGTAGAGATGAAATTGTCAACTAGTTGATGAGTTTTGTAAGTCTTTTAAGATGTGTTTGTTGTACCAGACTATCTCGGACTGAACTAGCTTTGGGGACTAAGTTTGACTGGTTTAGATTAGATTAAGTCAGACTAAGTTAGTGAACTATTTGGTGCAGTGTCGGACTAAAAAATAGAATAATTAATAAATTATAATATTATAATATTTAATATATGTCTAATAATATTAAATTATGAGTTCAAGCTTTTCCTTCTATACACTCTTTTACAGTTCTACTTCTCTCTAGAATATTTTCATCCTCTTTGGTTTCATCGCCATTATTTCCTTTCCTCCCATCTTTTTTCCTTCAAAATGCTTCAAAGTTCAATTCCATTTTTTTCTGCAAAACACTTCAAAACCATATTCCTGCAAAATCATCTCCAAAGCTACTCTCTCTCCTCCCTCTCTATCTCTCCATCTCTTTTTATCCCCAAAGCTACTCTCTCTCCTCCCTCTCTATCTCTCCATCTCTTTTTATCCCCAAAGCTACTCTCTCCCTTCTCTATCCATTCTTCTCCGAAATTTTTTGGGAAAAAGAAAAATTATCTGGGAGATTTCTAGGAAGTTTTGGGAATAAGGAAGAATTTTTCTATTGAGATTGTTATTGTTATTGTGTTGCTTTTTCTTTTCAAATTTTGGTGGCTGGATTTTGAGATTTAGGTTGTGGGTGGGATTGAGTTTCAGATCCGGGCATGGGTGGGCAAACAGAGTTGCCCAGAAGCATGCTTGCAGACTTGCAATGCAAACATCGTATGCAGTTCTAGAAACAGGACTAGAAATCCCATGGTTTTTGAGGGGGTTCACTATGACCGGCTAATCCCATGGTTAGTCAAGACGAGTGAAGGTTAGTGTCATTAACGTTAGTCTCAGTGGGTAACCAATAGGGGACCGGACTAACACTTAGTCCAGTCCAATCCAATGAGAGTTAGCGAGGGCAAACAAACTCGCCCTCAGTGTTTATCCTGACTTAGTACACTCCATTTGTTTATTTAAATGCATATATCTAGGATATTTTCATAAGATGTCGATGTGTAATTAAAGTTAAATAAAATTAAATGTATAATCTAAGGATTTATACGACAAATTTTTCATATAGGAATTCAAGTTATACATATGGAATTCTAAGGATTTATCTATATGAGCTATTAATCACTTGAACATATACCAGATTCAGTCAGCATGTATAATCTTAAAAGTATTATTCCTAATTTCTTAATTGTTGAAAAATAAGGCCTTGTTTGATCTCTAGGATTGGAATGGAATAGTTAAACTACTGTATTCATGGTATATTAAAGATAGAGGTGAATGCTTTTTCGTATTGAGGGGATTAGAAGGGGGATAAGACATGATGGAAAATAACCCCTTCTGATCCTTACCATTTTGGCAGATTGGAATGGAAAATAATCCATCTCCTCCGTTCAAGTAACCCACAATTTTTTCATTTCTTTCGTCAACATTCCTTGAATATAGTGGGTTGTCCATTTCAATCCAATCTTAGAGACCAAATGAGGCCACAATTTTTTCATTTCTTTCCTGAACATACCTTGGATATAGGTCATATATATCAACTTGCTTCAAATGTCTATTTACATGTTTCTTATGTTTACCACTTTTAAATATAGGTTACATGGCTTGATAACATTGCACATATGCACTGCACCGAACATAGATAAAGTGGAAAGTTTCATGTCTGCACATGTGCTCCCTAAGCTGTTTTAGTGAAAAATTGCATGTCTGTACCTTTATTCCTTCATTTATCTTCCTGTTTAAATTATGAGCCATGTATTAAATTTTCTCAACCCTTAAGATGTTTGCAGCTTCCTTACCATGATATTACACTAGGGGCTGCATGGTCTGAACTGTTCGTTGACCATAAAGGAAAATACTGGGATTTGCCTGAGTCAATTTCCTTAGATATGTCATCACTTGTTTCCGAATCTGGATTGCGGTACCGCATTGGTGTACATAAAAACATCCAGGCAGTTAATTCCGTAGATTCTGCGCAAGGGCTGCCTTTTCTTATGAAAAAAGCCAAGATATTTGGAGGCAAAATGAGACACGAAAAGACATCATGATACATAAAGAAAATGGTTGATTTTGGCAGCCATCTTATGATGTGCGTCTTAAAAAACCTCATTCTTTAGCATCTGGAATTTTTGGTAATTTTACACGTTATTCATATTTTTTGTGATAACTTGTATTATCTCATTACATTTTTGTTGGAAGTTTCATACCAATACTCAGGTTCAATATCGTATAACATTTAGCTTATACATTTGCCTGTTTTTATACATGTATACATGTTTTGGTACCTCTTAGTGTCACTTATATTGTATGTGTAGTTTTCTACTTTAGTATTAAACCCAGTACATGTAATGAGTATGTCACCTCCTTTCATCTGTTCCGTGGTTGTAGATGTGCCTGCAGTAAAAGAAACATCATAAATAATTGTAATAAAATATAATTCTAGAGACAAAAGTTCTAACGGAACGATTCAATATTTTTGTTTTGTGTTTATGAGTCCAGGTCTGTTGCCGATAGTATGCAATCTCTTAGAGCACTTTTAGCGTTGGCTTTTGCTCGGGGAACAGGCCAGCAAACAGGGCCCGAGGGCCCAGCCTATTGACTCCAGTGTGTGGGAGCCCGAGGGACAGGACAGGCCCAAGCACCAGGCCTGTCACGAATTGCCAGCCGCGAGCCCAAAGGCTATCAGACGCAAGGCTGACGTCAGCTAGGCGTCAACCCCTTTTTTATTTTTTTTCTGTCAGGCGCATGCACTGCACCCGCGTGTGGGGGAGCGTCACCCGACATGTTTTCAACAAATGGGGCCTGCGGTGCAGTTTCAAATTGTTACCGTTGGGAAGCCACGTGACTTCCCATGGTCCATTGGATCTCAACGGCAAGAAAATGTGGACCATCAGATTTGCAACGGTAAAAAACATAAAAAAAATCTTATTTAATATCAACCGTTGGATTTGAGATCAATGGTTGATATTATTCTCCTTTATAAATATAAAAAAAAAGTTTTAAAATTCAAAAATGTTACTATTGTGCCATGTGGCACAATTTGGAGCGTTGGAATTCAATTTTTAAAAAATCCAACGGCAGAGATTAATTAGTTGAATAAAAAAAAATTTAAAATTGTAAAAAATGAATAAAAATCCGAAAAAAATTTTGAAATTTTAAAATTTTTTTTGTTTTTTACTTTTCTATAAATACATTTTCATTATCATCTACCTTACACCACAGCTTCTATCAAGGTTTCTAGAACGGTTGGGCTAGCATATCTAACCCATAGCTTGGATGACTCGACGGGAATGTGAGGCTCTACCCATTCTTGCTTTGTAATCTCTCCTTTTACGCTCCTCATCCTATTCTTTCTCATTTTGGGCCACTTGGAGATTGAACATTTCTTCTGATTGGTTAAACAATTCTTCCTCTTGCTAATCGATTTCCCACATCATCCTTGAAGAAGAAGACATTGTAAAAATGAATCAGAAACTATGAATAATGATAGAGATTTTGATGAAGAAGGAAATAGAAACTATGAATAATGATAGAGATCTTGAGAAAATTGGTATGAGATTTGTGATGATGGATGGTGGATTATATGGAGGATTCAGAAAGGATTAGGTTGTAGATAATGCCACGTGGCATGTCATCATTCGTTAAAAATCGGATGGAAATCTATCCTCAAAGATTGTAAATAGATTATGACACGTGGTGCGACGTGATTGTTTAATAATCTTTTCGGAAATCCATCACCAATAATTGCATTTTCGGATAATGACACGTGGCGCAACGAGTACAATTAAAAATCTTATCGGAAATCCATCACCAATAATTGTCTTTTCGGATTTTATGACACGTGACGCAACGAGAACGATTAAAAATTTTATCTGAAATTACAAATAAAATTATTTTATATTATTTTATTTTATAACTTTTCAGATAATAACACGTGGCGCATCGAGAACGATTAAAAATCTTATCCGAAATTACAAATAAAATTATTTTGTATTATTCTATAAATAAAAGTAATAATAATATTTTATTGCCTATTGCCAGGGCTATTGAAATGCAATGGTGGAGATGCAAAAGGCGATTACTGTTCATTAAGGGCAGTTACTGTTTACTAGGTGGATAACATAGTATATTACCTGGGGGGTTCCATGCTGGAAGCGCTCTTAAGTTTTTTACTTTACCATTTCCTGATGTTTGCACCAGAAAAGACCAGATACAAAATTCTATAATTGTAAAAAATAATGGGTAGTCAACCTAGTCATTGTTAGTGATATAGTTCCCTTTTATTTGGAAAATGAAATTGTAATCCATTTCCCAGTTTTTCTTCTGGTCAATGGTGGCATTACATTTTTGGTGAAAGCTGCACTGCCTGGTTTCAGGATGGGTACAACCCAGTGGCAGTTGATATGAAGGGAGACGAGGACAATTCTAGGAGCAATAAGAAGAGAAATCCATTCAGTGCTGATTTTTTCGGCTCTCTCTGCAATACTTTCCAGCACGGGAAATTTATAGAACTCTACGGTGATCTAAACAGGATTGATTCTCATCTGGATATTTGTTCAGCTTCAGCTTTGGCTAAAAGGGTTATTTATGGTTTGAAGAGTTCCTCAGCTAATAGTGCAAAAGATCCGGTGTC